GCAATTGGCCAAGCTGGTGGAGGTGGCAAACCGTACTCGGATGGCTTAGGCCTGTGAGTAGGTTCTAGCCTCAAGGTAGCAATAAGCAGAACCAATATAGTATTAAGTGTAACCCGATAAGGGGGCAGCTTAGCTAGAACCTGCACCACGGGGCGTCAGAGCAAGGTTTCACTGAAGCAGAACGGAAAAAAAAAAAAAAAAAAAAAAAGAATATATTTATTCAATAAAATTTGTATATTAATAAAAAATGAAAATAAAAATAGTTTCAAGGAAAAAATATAAAAAAATAATTACTATAGGTTTTTTTTTATATGGTTAAAAAATAACAAGATTTTTAAACTTGCTTTTTTGTATTTAAAAATTCTATTTTGATATATCAATATACTTTTTTTATTTTATTAAGACCTTTGTAATAAAGATAAAGAAAATATGAAGAATTTTTAATAATAAAAAAATATTATATATGGAAAAAAGTTTTTTTTATAAGTTATATATTGTATATATTATATTTGTAAATAATTTAATAAATATATAATGTTTATTTAATTGCAGATTATAAAAAATTATATCAAAAAAATTATATATACAATATACAATATATATTAAAAATATTATAAATTAAAAAAAAAACTCTTTCCCGTCCACATCAAATTTCCTTTTTTGGAAATTTTTTTTTCAAGAAAAACAAAAGTCTTCTTTACTTTACAAAACTCCTCAAGTTTACAGTCCTACTCTCCTAAAGTCTATAACAGTCACAAAACAACAAAGGTATACCAAGCACATACTCTAACACTTCTTTATTTTTGTTTAAATAGGGAAGACAAGTACTTGCTTGTATCCAGAAGGGTACAAAGCAGGAAAACTGATTCACAGTTAGGCCTCAGGGAGCCAAGCCCACTACCACCCCTACAGCCAGGCCAGTACCAGGTTAAATACCTTTCTTGACACTGCAGGAACCTCTAGGTGGCCAGATTTCATCCGATAAATCAGACAACCTTGTCACCATCCTAAAGGCTAGAAGGGTCTCAAAGCTCCCTATTATCTAAACAGAGTGAAATTTTCTTAATGTACATACAGTAGGCAAATAAACCAAAATCAGCTTACCCCCTCCAAATCTTCAGTTATGCGAACACGTCTCCCAACATAACAACAGCAACAGCAACAATATCTAAAAATAGTACGCGACGAATACAACAGTAACAACATCTAAAAATAGTACATGACGAACATGACAGCAAATTCTAAAAATAGCACGTGTCATCAAACTCAAGATAACACGTGCCATCAATTATAACAATACGTGTCAACAAGTTCTAAAAATAGCATGCATTGATTAAGCAACTTTATTTACAAATTGTAAACAAAACACGTAAACAGAACATGCAGCTCTAGAACACAATGTCAATTCTAATCACACCTCCAGACTATACTATCCAACAAACATTACCCTTAAAGCCCCAGCATAATACCAACTTGCTACTTGACGTAATCCTTATAGACAGAACAAGACACTACGTATCTATTATTTTTCAAAACAAGAAGAAAGAAATCATTCTCACAGAACCTTCTAGAACACATACAATCCCTTTGCTTGAAAACCATCCTAACAGATGGCTCATACCCACATCCAACATTTCCAGGCCAGACTCTCCAAACCTATCAGTTTTTCAGATTGAATTCTCAAGAATTAATGATAACGGGAACCTCCTTGCACAGGTCTCAGTTCTTAAAGAAAAGCCCTTAAGTCTTCTGGACGAATTTCAGGAATTCAACAATTCGCTTCAAAAGTTCTTCGCCAAGAATGAACAGATTAGAAATGAAGTTTTTCAAAAGGTTTTAGCAAAAGAGTGGAACTATTCCAAACATATTCCCTGGAATATGATACAGGTTACCAAAGCTGGCACTAAAAAACAAAAGACCTTCTCCCTTACAAAAACATACCAACTCATCAGTGGAAGCCAGGCACCTCTACACACACCAGTCAATGCAGAATCATCCGTCTCTACAAACTCTCCTGTTGATCTTCAAGGTCAATTAAGTAGTTCTTCAACTATCAATCAGAGTCCAGCATCAGTAATAACCCCCAGTCAATCAGGGGATGACCAGTCAGGAGACTTACAATCGGATCAGCCCAAACAACAAAACCAGCTATCCAATCACAAGATTCCTCCTTTACAAGAATCCCATAAAAGCGATCCCTCAATTTCGATCGACTTAAACTTTCCCATCCCAGAAGATATAGAAATAGGAAACATTACAAGTTCTTATCTTTATCAAGAAGAAGAAAACACTTACAATAATCAAGCATCAAATAATTCTATTATTTTATCAGCCACCAACAATTTCCATCAATGCAACAATCCTATCATTCCAATGTCCCACTCTCTCTCACTTATCCATCCAAAACCACAAGAAACCTTTCAACAAACTAAATACAAGAACTCGGTAAAGCACAAAAGTGTGAATCCAGCATTTAGTAGCAGCCTTCAGGAAAAAATAGAAGTCGCTTCTAAAAGGCTTTGGTTATATGAGGATGACCTTATACTAAAATCTTCAGGAATAGAAGACTATGATATAACCATTAACTCAGATGATGAAGATGATAATCTTAATTTACCAGAAGAACTCTTGAGTGAACATCACTGCATCGTTCAGTGGGCATCCAAACTCTCTACTATTAGAAACAATCCTGACGAACTTATCAATCTCTTGCTGGATATTAATCAACGTCCAAAAGACGAAGTTAGGCAAAAGCCAAAACTAGCGATCTTCATTAAAATAGAAGCAAGGGATAGAGGTTTTCTCAGGTTCAAAAAGGAAACAGAATTAAAAGAAGACCATCAAAAAGAATATGAAAAGCTTGAAGGCCGGTTCCGAAGAATTTATAGAGGAAAACACAAAGTCGGAGAACTTAATAGAGAAGTCAGATCCAAGATCAAGTTCCTCCTAAACATCAGCCTTTTCATCGCTTACCTTAGGTATATCAACATATTTGATCTCAACCCTCACCTACTAGCGCAAATCATGGAATATGGGTGTAATTACTTGTGTTGCCCTAAAGAGAGCACCAAGCTAGACTATCATGAAATCCTCCGGAAATATAAAAAAATGTTCCGTGACAATTTGCCAGAGCTTCCTCCTTCACCGGAATTAGTTCCTCCACAAGTGAAAGCTAAAATTCCTCATAGAATCCCTATCCTTGATAGAAGTACGACTGCAAGTGTAGCAGGCTCTCTTCACTCCATGTACAAATTTGATCTTCTGCCAGACTCGTACTTCGCCACTCTTCCTAATCTCCCCGATAATCCACAAAATCTTTCCAAAGAAGTTTCACATTTGTTTCCAGTCAAAAGAAGAAAAGATCTCAAAAATCTAGGTGATATGATCAGGGAACTTAAAAAGTTCTATTTCGTTCCCACCAAGATTCCTCCAACCTATTTTGATCTTCCCCCACCAAAAATTCCCCTTCCTTCATCTCCCAATTTTCTTGAACCAGAATTTATGGAATTCTTTCCATTAAACACTTCCAAACACAACATCAGAGAGGTGGTTAAGGAACTGCGGTCTAAATACTATTTTGAATGCCTCCCCTCCAACTTCTTTAAGCTCAAAGAACTCCTCCCAACGTTTCCATCAACAATCAACAGATACATTTCCAAATTAGGAATCCAGATTTTTACTACAAACCCACATGATACCCAGTTCCTTATTAAGAACCTGAGATCTGAATATCATTTTTCACTTCCTCTAGGAGTTCATTGGGTTAATGAGGAAATTTCTCAAACTGATAAACCCAAGTTGCCACAAAAACTCAATGACATCAACCCAGATCTGAATATCAAGCATCTCTCCTGCAATGATAGCCTTCTTAGAGAAAAAATCAAGACTCTCCACTCCCACTATGAATTTCAGAGGATCCCTAAGAACTGATTCACCAATCCACAAGTTCCATTGCCAGAAGATCCAACAGAAATTAACAAAATATTAAGAGAAAGAAGCCTCATGCCTTTCCAATTCCCACTGGTGGATAATGATGCCCTCCCGACACTCATCTTCCAATTACATCAAATCTTCTCCTTTACCAGACTACCTGAGTTCCTTATCATAAAAGAGACGCTCCCTGAACCGGAGTTTGATCTCATGCCCTTCCTAGGTTAATTAGCATGTCTAATAACCAAACTATAACAAATAACTTAGACTACAATATACCAAACACTTCCCTTAACATAAACAATCATACTCATTCATCCATAACGAACAATACCACCTTACCCACTAATCCCAATGCTCCATTATCTCATCATATTCAAAACATATCCACATCTTCAAACACGGCTAATAGTAAACTTGCATCAAGTGCAATCCAAGATCTAATTACCTTCACGACTATCAACACTAAAGGTCTAAATGATCTTACCAAACTCAAAATCCTGGCAAACCATACCTCGGATCGCACCATTCTCTTTTATACTGAGACCAAACTTAAAAAAGGAGACAACCATATGAGAAACATTAACGGAAGATCAATAATTTATGGAAATTCTGGCTCATCGGCAAAAAACGGTACAGCTCTCATTATAGGAAGGAGTCTCACTCCCCATGTGTATAAGATCATTAGCCACTCAGAATATTGTTCTTCAATTCTGCTCAAATTCAAAGGGAAGGTTAACATCCTCGTCACAGCAATTTACCTACCCCATGACAAAACAGAAAGAAAAGTTGCAATTAAGCAAGTAATCCAAATAATCAAAACAGCTGCCAATAATAATTTCCATCACACAATCCTTGAAGACTTTAATACTTATCCCAAGGACAGTCTATCAATCAATGCTCCAACTTCACCTGCCAAACAGATAATATATGGCCATATGTATAACTATATTGACATAGGTCACCAATTAGACAAAAGAGCTTTTACTTTTATTACCTCCACCAGCGCCTCACGAATCGACCAGATATGGTTGTCAAGGAACCTAGCTTCTAAAGTAGTTTGGTATAAAGTCCAAGAATGTGATTTTATCCCAACAGATCATCATGCAGTATCAGTTAAGTTAGACTACTTCAAATTTAGGAAAACCAAACCCATCTACAAATTTGACATAGAAAAAACATCAAACATCAACATCACAAACTTTATTCAAGATGTAGAATCCTGGACCAGCCTTCTAAATTCTCCAAACTGGAATGAGCTCCACGACCTTATAAGAGATTCCATGAGCAAGTTCATAAAAAAGACCAGGGTCAACATAATCCCAAAGGACTCTCGTACTGTTGCGAAAAAAAACTCAAGAGCCAAACAAGGAAAATTAATATTACTATTTCAAAACTTAAAAAAAATCATACCGTGGTGCAACTTCAAGATCAAGAACTACAAGCCCTTTACAAAATTGCCAATAGAAGTTCAAATATTTCAATTCAAGGGTTGAGGAAGCTCAAAAAACTTCTAATTCGTGAAGCAATCGTCCAAGCTCAACAAGAATCCCTTGAGGAGTTTAGGATAAATCAAGAAAGAACAGTTGAAAACTTTTATAGCAAGCCTAAGAGCTATATCAAGAAAGCCCTAGGCTCTCTGAAACCAAGAATCGACCTTTCCAAAGTCCTTGATGAAAACAATCAAGTAGAAGAAGATCCTAACACAATTCAAGAAATAATCAACAAGTATTTTAAAAATATTCTGCGTGAAAGAAGTTTTGATCTTGAAAATTTCCCAAACTGGCAAGAGGAATACCTACCCAAACCAATCGACCAAACTATTTACAATCAAGTGCTCTCCCCACTCGATAATGCCACCATTGATGAGGCCATCCGTAATCTTCCAAAAAAGAAATCCCGGGAAAATCAGAAATTAGTTATGACGTGATCAAATTGCTAAAAGGAAAAATTACAACCCACCTCATCTCAATCTTCAATCAAATCTTAACTTCTTCGTCGGTTCCTCATCTTTGGAAACAAACCTCTATCACTCTCATACCCAAAAAACTTCTTTGGAGTCACAAGCTCAACGATACCAGGCCAATTTCACTAGTCGACTCGACTAGGAAAATCTTCACCGGAATAATTAATAGAAGACTCACCAATACCTTAAAATCCAACTCGATTCTATCTGAGTTTAACTTTGCAGGGCTCCCTGGACAGAGTACCCTTGAACCTCTAACCATTGTTAACTCAGCAATCCAAGCAGCAAATGTTAACAACAGGGAATTCTGGTTCACCTCTCTTGATATTGCCAAAGCATTTGACTCGGTTCCCATACCAGCTATCCAAAAGTTCATGGAAAGAATCAAATGTTCCACCCAGTTAATAAGTCTTTTCATCAACCTGCTTACAAACAGAGAAATAACCATCAACTCACCCTTTGGTCCAACCAACCCTTTTACGGTTAACAACGGCATAGAACAAGGAGAAACCATTTCCCCAATTACCTGGGTTATCTTTTATGATTCTCTTATCTCCAAACTCTCCAGATGTAAAAGAACGCAGGGTTACTTAGCCCCAAATGCACTTGCCTATATGGATGACCTAGCACTCATCGCTGACTCCAAAAAAAAAATGGAAGTTCTTCTCGAAACAGCCAATCAATTCTTTCAAATTAATAACATTACATGTAACAAAGACAAAACCAAAATTATCAACAATATTAAAGTCAAGCGTGAAAGCCCAAGAACAATCAATTTTGAAAACCTTCCAATCCAAGTTCTCAAACCTTATGAGAGCATTAAATATTTGGGAGTTCTTATCTCTCCACACAGCCTTCTCAAGGCTAACAGGAAAGCTTTCAGCCAAGTGACCTCCCAGATTCTAGATGAACTTAACAAACGTCAATGGAAAGGGGAAATCAAACAGCGTATTTGCAAGTGGGTAGTTTTAGGAAAATTCGAATACTTCCTATCAATCTTCCACTTAAACAAAAGTCTCCTTAATACCATCCAAAGAAAAGTTAATCAAGTTATCAAGTCTGGCTTCAAAATTTCTTCCAAATGCTCCAATTCAATTATAGTGAGCCGAGGAGGGCTCAGCATACCGATACTCGAAGAACGTCAAAGATCTAGCCTCATTAACAATCTCATAACCAAGCTAGCCACTCCAATGACAAGGAAATATATAATCCAAACCATACAGTGTATCCAAAAAAAAGAAGTCATTTGGTTCTGTCCGATATGTGAGCCTGAAAGATTCGACCAAGACAACTGGATACTATATGCAGCTGGAGCTGCAAAATACTTCAAAATACAAATATATCCTCCAGACTGTCCCCTTCAACTAGAAAATGCACATAATTCCATAGGCCTGTTTTTTAAAAGTCTACCATCACAGCTCAGGAAAACAGCGGTCAACACATCTAATGCCCTCAGTATTAGGTTTTCTAGCCAACTTCTTCGGTTCAACAGTCCAATCAAACTATCCTGGTCTCAACTCATATCATATATAGGCATTGTACGATGTGGCCCTGAGCCAGTCTGGTTCAAAAACTTCAAAAACAATAACGACCTTATCGGATCTCACAGATCAATACCAAATCCAAACCCAACATTCTGGTTTTTATACACCATAAATATTATAGTTAGAACCCACAAAAGACACCACCACATTCAAGAAAACATACCTCTCAAGGGAAGGTATTATACAATCGATTCCAACAGTAATCTTATCAAGTGTTCTGGTTGCCCTATAGGACTTTCCACCAACAACTACTGTTTAATAATCTTCTTAAGCTCCGATGCCTCTTCACTCTGGACAATTAATAAAGTTTCATCCAATGCCAAGTACCACTTCTGTAACATCATTGAGGAATTAGCAAATTCTCCAACAGAAAACGAAATCATTCTCCAATCAATTGACATCCCACCACTCATTCCGTCCATTTCTCCCCTGCAGATAATAGGCCAATGCAACTTATATCACATCCAACTGTTTAAACAAGAATTAATAGTCAATGAGGCTAAAGTCACAATGACCAATCCAGGACTCCCAGAAGGCAATATCCTTCAAATTATTTACAATATCATCCAATGGTGCCCTTCTCACTCCATCATTGAAATCAGAAGTAACAAAAAAGTCATCCAGACTCCCCCTATCTTTCCCAGGAAACGTGTCAAAGTCAGTTTTGCCACCTTAACCTCAAAAATCCTACAAATCACAACACAGAAAGGTATATCTATCGTTTCTGCCAAGCCTAAATCCAAGCTGAGATATTTCAACTCGATCGCGTGGGACAATCCATCTCTCTACTTCACAGAAAACCCCACCATTAACAAAGCAGATCTGGGTAGTTGCTCAAGATGGTGCAAAAAAATTTTTGGTATTACCAGATCTTATATCATTTGCGAAAGCTCATCCATAATCAAAACATTTGGCCAGTCTCATGATACCTTTGAGCTTCAAATAATCAATTCCTCCAACAAACTCTTAAAAGGATACCACAACAATACTTATAGCGATTTCATCGCATTTATAGTCAAATTACTCTCTGGCACACTTCCAACACGAGAATTTCTCCATCAATTATATCCTGAACTATATAAGGATCCCTTTTGTCCAAGGTGCAGCCTCCGGACTGAAAATATCTTTCATGTCTTCAGTTGCCTTTCAGCAAAAAAAGAAATCAGGCAAATAATAGATTCCGTTAATCTAATTCTCCATCCAAATAATAACAACAGCCCAGTGTCAAATGCACACCAAGTATTGGGACTTGCTTGTGGAATCACAACTGGCATCTTCTCAACTTCCGACATACATAAATGGATTCAAGCATCCACCGAAGCTCTCAAATCCTCCTATAACTGCATTTGGAAACCCCGATGCAGCACAGCAAACACTGCTCCCACTACAGGTATCAAGTGGAATGGAAATCTCAAAAAAAAGAAAAACAACAACAATAATAACGGCATCAACAGTAACAACAATATAACTACCAACAGCTCAAATTTCCTGTCTAACAATAGTAATAACAATGATAATGCCAATAATAGAAGGACGCAAAAAGATAGCCCACTCCCTAATAATAATACTCCAACATCTGCTCCCGACAGTACTATAATTGACATTCATATCCTCGTTACAGAAACATTTATTCAAAGCAATCTCGTTTATTCAAAATGCATTAATAATCTTATTTCTGACTATCGTAACTTCATTGCACATAATTCTGAGTAGGTATTCACAGCTGCTTGGCATCACTTAATTAGTAGACTAGTTTAAAACATTTTTCTAGTAGAAGTTAGGTGATTACTGTAGGCAAGCTAGCATTTAACTCACTGCAATTGTATGTGAGAGATGTTGTTTCTTTCCATAATGTATATCTTGTTATATACAAATAATAAAGAAATGGTGTTTACCTATGTTAAAAAAAAAAAAAAAAAATATTATAAATTAAAAAAAAATAAAATAAAATAAAAAAACTTTTACTCATTTATCACCAATTCTTTGAAAATTTCTTTTTATAGTAATTTTCTTAAAAGAAACACTTTTACTCTTTCTATATGCTCTCTATGTCCCGTAAACTAGTAGGGCCTCGCCTGATATATTTTATTGTAATTAGAATTTGTACATATATATTACATATGTTATAACTCTACAATTTTATTAAATATTTAAACTATATCGAGTTTTTCAAATATTGGCTTTATACTACCTAATTTATACTATAGGAATTTCCAATCGCAAAATAATTAGAACCTAATGCTTTACTGTATCGTTAGGGTTGTTTAATCAAAAATTCTTTTATAGTTCTATTTTTTAACCATAGATATGTTAAGAGAAAGTGAAGAGAGGATAGGGGGTAGTATCTATTTTGGTGAATAGAACTCAGTAACAGAAAGAGATACCAGGTATCATAGGGAAAGGATTATCAAGTCATCTTACTTGAAACCGGATGCCTTCTACACCTTATTAACTTCTTCTGATGATTATTGTAGCACCAACTGGATGATTGTTGCACCATGACATCTTTATGGAGATCACAATCTTAATACTTGCTGGATCAGCATGTGAAATTGGTTTCTTATAAGAAACAGCACTTTGGTAGATTATGATGCCAGATATTATATTAATTCTATTCAATCACTTTCACATGGGATTGAACTGGTATCTTGTGATTTAACCTGTGAAGCACTAACCACTGTGCTATAGATCCATAGATATCTATATACTTTTTATGTTATAAGCTCAAGGATATAAGAACTTTAAGGACTATTGTTATATTGGGATAGGATCTTTAGATAAAGGCCAAGCAAGTTTAGAAGTTTTGTTTGTTTTTTGTTTATATAGGGAAAGGCTCGTAATAGTTCTTCTTTATAACTTTGTCTTTATATATTTCTTCTTACTTATATATCATTATAATTATTTTTATTTTATCTCTCAATATCACAAATTTAATCTTAAAGTCATATTTAAATAAAGTTATTGAGTTTCTTGCTTGTTTTAATCAAATCTTTTCAACTACTTTTTATTTAATATATAATGCTATGCCAATTTATTATTTACAAAAATTCAATAAATTTCAAAAATCAAAATCAATTTTATTCCTTTAAATAATCAATACATAATTAAAATAACCAATCATATATTAACAATCCAATACAATGATAATTAAGCTAGTCTAAACCTGTTTGTAATAACAATAACAACAATTCCATATCACAACATCCTAATAGTTTTTTTAATTAATATAATAACAATTTCAATGTCATATTTATATGAAAAAATTGAGCTTTTCATATGTTTTACTTAACTTTTTATCAGTTATTATATAGTTTCATGGATTTAAGCAACAATACCAAAACTCAATTAACAAATTTCTAATCAAAAAAGTTGCCATTATGGTTTTATGAGTCCAGACAGTACACCCAAAATCCAATTATTAAAAATTTTATTTTTTCTATTATTAATATAACTGTTTATAAATAGGTATAAACTATTTATAAACCATTTTTAAAGTAATATTACTTATTTGATATAATATTATTTCAAAAGTTTATATGCAATAGGCTAGTATTAACTTAAATGAATACTTAATATAATGACAAAAAACTTAATATTTAAATAAAGTCTCGTATTTTATATTTATTTGTAGTAAAAAAAAATATTGTAAATTAAATTCTTATAATCAAATTTGTCAAATTTGTTTATAGAAAAAGATTTTAAAATTAAAATATTATAAAGATTATTATTAATAAAAATTAAATAAAAGACAAAAAAAAATTTCAAATAAGCATTAATTATAATAATAAAATAAATAACCAAATAATATTAGTTATTTAAACTTTTTATTTAAAAAGTTATAGTAAAGTTTTAAATTTTTGAACTTTGTTTTTTTGTCACTACTATATACAGTATATATAGTGGGTGCAGAAAAGATTCGAACTTTTTTTTCATTACACAAAAAAATGTAATAACAACTGAATTTTGAGTAAGTACATTTTTGTAATAAGTTATTTATATTAAATGACTCACGTGCACTGATTTATATAAATAACTCACTATTTTAAATTGCCAAATTAATACTAGACATGAACAATATCATCCAATACTAATCTCATTGCGCAAAGAATGGTTATAAGGCAGTTATGGGATAATGGTATAAGGAAACCTGTTGAAATTATATGAATTACAGGTTTTCCAAAGAGCACAACATATGATTATATAAATCGACTCAAAAAAAAAAACACCCTTGTCCCACTTTCTATTCTTGAAAGATTCAAAATTTTTACGATGAAAAAGTGTCATTATCTCGAGCAACTCATACAAGCCAATAATATGATTACTGTTACTAAAGTAGCTGTCAGACTTAATGAAATCTACTCCAACTTAAATATATCAGTTCGTACTATCCAAGAAGTTCTTAAAAAGGACCTCCAATATATTGTTTGTTGACTGTTACGCGTTCCCTTTCTCCAACCCTCCCACATTGCTACCCGTTTCGAATGGGCCCATGAACATGTGCAAGACAAGTGGTCTAATATAATTTTTTTCAACGAAACAATACTACAAATGTTCAGAAACATATAACAAGTAAAGTACCATTGTGAAAGCCCGCATCTGCACCATAGCATGGTAAAACATTCATTCAAAATTTATGTATGGGAAGCATTTTCTGCATAGGGGCCAATCGCACTAGTTTTATTTACAGAAAATTTTAATCCATAAAGATATTATGAAATTCTTGAAATCCACTTTTTCTTTAATGCTTCGCAAGCAGGTCGTGGCTGATATTTCCAGCAAAACAACTCTCCCATCCATATGGCTCAGGTTACACATCAGCTTTTCAAAGATTACCATGTTCAAATGCTCGACTGGTCTTTGAATTCACCTGATCTGAATTCCATAGAGAACCTATGGGCTGTACTAAAAAATAGAGTAAAGAAAATCATAAACAATAGGCTTATAAAAAAAAAAAAACTTAGCACTACTGATTTTCGGTCAATTATTCAAAAAGAATGGGATGGTTTAGATCAAGACCTCTAACTTAATTTAGCAGATAGTATGAAAAACCATTTTGAACAAGTGATTGAGAGGAAGGGAAAAAAATCTAACTATTAATATTTATGTATTTTTTTTTTATGACGATTTTTATCATTTTCATGAATTTTTATGCAAATAAAGTCTATTTTACAAGTTTTTTATTAGTTACGAGAAAAGTCTGGATCTTTTCTGTAACCACTGTAAACAGTATATGTTGTATGTATTGAGTTAAGAATATATAGTTTCCATAATTAAATACAAACATAATATCAAAAGAGTGTATATAAAATCTATTTATTAATGATTTTTAATCTGAAAATTGTATTCAACCATATACAGTATTTTTTAAAAAATGTTATGTAATACCTTTCAAATAGTAAATTGAAAGCCTCTAAATCCTAATTGCCAATTTCTTAAACATTTTTTAATACAATTTCACACTTATTCTAAATATTACAGCTACTTCTGTATTTCCACTTTATGTTTTAAATTCTAGAAGACCACACCAATTATTATGTTTATTAATTTCTATCGGACCGAATATCTTTTACAATATTCAGCATCCAATTTCGATAATGACGCCAAGATTTAAAAAAAAAGGTTATAACTTTGTTCTTACCCTAAATGTATAGTACAGTCCGAATATATGATTTCAAGAATAGAAAGTGGACCAATTATTTTGTTATCTGTCATGAAAAGATATCATATATGGAATCAATTGGAATCACCGTGCATATCAAATACAGTACTCACGCACATGCGTGCTGTAGTTATCGCTCAAAGAAAAACGATAATGCGCGGAAACTCGGTCATCGACGACTTGAGAATCTTAGTGAACAATCCTCGATATAGTGACCTAGAAATCAAATGCAAGGATGATGTTATCATATATGGCAACCGTGCGATTCTAGCAGCCCGCTCTGAGGTGTTTGATGAAATTCTTTTCGCTAAAACGGAAATTCATGACAAGCAAATTTTATTTCGGACAATTGAAGCGTCGCATATGAAGATTATTCTTGATTATTTATATACTGGGTCAATTTCTGAAAAGGACCTATCGGTTGATAATGCGTTCGAAATCTTACATGCAGTGAATTTCTTCCGATTAAAGAACCTTCAAGATTTTATTTCAGAATATTATAAGAAAATGTGCAGGAAATGGGGAAATGACAATAAATCGCCCGAGTTATTATCCAAGGCCGCTCATTTATTGTCATCTCTTCCTAACAATGAGATTGTTGACTATTTAATAGATTCAGTGGCTAAAATTCCCTTAGATTCTATTGGATTTAATAGGTTGACACTTCAGGGTTTGCAATGTTTGCTATCAAAGAGAGACGAAAAGAAGTTTTTCGCATCTAGTGAATATTCGGTGTTACGATATGCAGTTTTAACAGCAGCAAAAAGGATATCTCAAGAAGCGTTTCTTACCCTAAAGAAAAGACTACCCCCATGGGAGGATGTAAAACGGACAGTCCAGACAATCAATCATAATAGCCCGATAAAGGAAGAAATTAGCCTACCAGTTTTCAATTACATAAATTCTCTTGTAGGATACA